ATGGTGGGTACTGATATATAGAGTTTAGGGTCATGCAACCAACCCTTGACGCAACACTAATGGGTTCCAACTAACACGATACGCGGTCCAAAGGCCTAAATACGGTGACGCAGCACCGGAACAGATTCAGGACGTCAACTTGTTCGGTCGATTTTCATTGACTCGGAAATAATTTGGACGTGGGACCAAAACCATTGGAAATGTTATCTTCTTAGCTTTCTATCATATAAAGAACGTCCCAATCCGAGCACGTATGCGACCTGGGCGTCTGTTTTAGTGCAGATTGGTCCTGGACTCCAAATTGCACTTGAAGTTGACTTAGTTTGGGTCTCCACCTTGACTTGGACGTCCTCGATGATCCTCCATGACTCTAGTTACTTCTCCAAGTGTCTCCTTGTCCTCTTCATTATTTCTAATCACAATATAATCATTAGGTAGAAATCTATTTTCAAATTCGTACAAAGAAGAACATAGGAACGAGCTTACCTCTAAATTCAATTGTAGCGCGCGAGCTCTTGTTATCGATCCTTAAATGACCGGTGGAGGATTGTTGTGTGTATCCGAAGAAGTGATGTCCGTATTATCTCGTTTGACTTTTTTTAGTCAAACAAGTTTGGTAAAATTTATAGCAAAATAAAGTACTAATATTTTCAATACAAAACAAACATTGTATCAAAACATATTCAATGTTGAATTTAATAAAACTAATTTTATATCATGAATGTGGCTAATTATTTATATAAATTTAATTAAATTAAAAAACTTTAATTAGAAAAAAAAGTAAAACGGCTTATAATATGAAACGGAGAGAGTGGCTTTTTGCTTCTCGGCCGGTCAGATAGGAGCTAGCCACGGGCCCAGCCGGCCGGCCGCCGGCATATCTCTTCAAAGCCACCGTCATCGCCGTCGACGTCGAATCGATCGATCGGAATTGCCTTTTGCATCGCTATAATGCATGCATGGGTTTGCGGCGAGCGAGGCCGGTGCGTAGCTGAAGTGCCGTCGACCACAGTATAGTAATCCACTCTTCTTTTTAACTGTCGGCATAGCCGCCACCGGCGCAGCCATGCTTGGAGCCTTGGAGCCAGGCAAAAATGTTTTGAGAATAATCTAGTCGAGACAGGCAGTTTAGGTCATGCTTGATTCACTTTAGGATCATTATAATCTGAATTATTAGTAGTAAGCTGAAACAAACATATAGTTTATTTTGACAGATTATTATAATCTATAAGCCAGATTATTATAATTTGGTAATTCACTCTAAAGGTGTTTTTTCTATATTATTGGGTGGCTAACAACTAACATACAACTAATAATCCAAAGAAACAAATAGTTAAGAGGTTATTCGATATCGGTTTATTATAATCCAGCTTATAGTAATCTGGCTTAATAATCTAAATTACGAACAAGCAGGGCCTAATTTGGGTGGCTAGCCTGCGAATATTGTTTTTTCATGCATGCAACGAATAATTATGATAAGGACACACAACATATACACGACAAAAATGTATACATGAAACAAATAATTCCGGGTGTCTCTCCTTCGTACTACCTCTATTTTTTAATAGATGCTGCCGTTAGACTTTTTTTTACATGTTTGACCATTCGTCTTATTTAAAAATTTTATACAAATATATAAGATATAAATCACACTTAAAGTACTATGAATGATAAAATAACTCATAACAAAATAAATAATAATTACGTAAATTTTTTGAATAATACGAATGGTCAAACATGTGAGAAAAAGTCAACGGCATCATCTATTATAAAACAGAGGGAGTACCTGTTACTACCACACTCACAAATCGCAAATGCGTAAACGTCTCCTAACACACGCTGAGAACCCCGAACACACATCACTGTGCACGCACACCTATAGACGTGTGCTTAACACACACTCAAAATAGACCTAAGCCTGCAACAATTCTCTTATAAAATTACTACCACAGTTTTGGCCTTCCGCGATAAGGCACTTTTGTTGAGATCAGAGAAACTTCGTCATGGTTCGTGTGATGGTCTTGTAACGAAAGGATATCATTGTAGAAGCTCCGTCTGTAATTACCTACAGCCGTGATAAAAAAGGGGTCATCCATCACAAATGTTCATGACGAATCGATGCAGTTGTAGCATTTCTAGGACGAAACTACTTCGTCACCGTGTGCTAGCTCGACTCTCTTCTCATATTTACAGATAGGACTCTCTAACTATTGGCCCATAAAGACACTGCCTACCAGATTCCTATGTTTTCCTCCAAATCAAAAGAGCTCCTAATATATAATTTTTCACAACATTAGTGACAACTCTATTTGTTGCCATCACCACTTTTTATATACCACAAAGACCTTAAGTCGTCACCAAAATCAGCCAAGGATGAATTTTACGATAGTTTTTTTTAAAAAATTTCATGATAATCGTTCTGTCGCAGTAATTCCTATATATGGATAACACATCCATGTACGTATCAGCACCAAGATTTAAATCCTTAGACGTACATAAATACACCCACGACTCCACTAACACAACACTAGTGCTTCCTTTGATACAATGTTTTATTTTTTAAAAATAATAACGTGATTTTAAGAACACTTTTTAAGTGATTTTTAGTCATCTTCCTAGCAATAATGAAAAGAGGACGGACAAAAGTGACAAAAAAAACTTTTTTTAGACAAATCAAAATCAAAATCAACAAGTTTATAAAACAAAAATTGCGATAAACGTATATTATATTAATGCCAGAATTAAATATCAAGAATAACTAACCCTAAATACGAGTGCATATACCAAGTTTTAGAGTACATAAACTTGTTGTAAGTACGAGCACACATGCCAACCCTAGAACTTTTAATCGGGTGGACAAGTTACACCATAAGTAACCTTACCAGCTGAGCTAGATATATATGTTAAGTTGGTGGAAAATAACTTTTTAGATGTGTTGCGGACATTTGAGCTGTCTATAATAATAATTATTTTTATTTGATTATTAGAGATGGTGTGATGAGGATGAAGATTAAGTTGGCGCACGTAAAACGAGAAAGTCATTAACATATGATTAATTAAGTTTTAATTATTACAAACTTGATAAATAGATATATTTGATATTTCAAAGCAACTTCTATATAGAAAGATTTCGCACGGAACGTACCGTATAGTAGTTTTAAAAAGCGTGCTAATAGAAATTAAACCGAGATAAAATCTAAATCTTAATCAGAAAACAACAGGTGTGTTCCCGTCATACAGTGAATCGAGTAATCCATTAACCAACTAATTCTTCAAACTAAGCATGCATTTTGATCATTGGGGACCATTGGATGTACTTGGTGTTCATGGTGACGATGATATATTGGTTAGTGTCCTTTCCTATGTTGCCATATACTCCCTCCCTCCGTTTCGAAATATTTGACACCGTTGACTTTTACCACATGTTTGACCGTTCGTCTTATTCAAAAACTTTTATGAAATATGTAAAATTATATGTCTACATAAAAATATATTTAATAATGAATCAAATGATAGGAAAAAAATTAATAATTACTGAATAAGACGAATAGTCAAACATATGCTTAAAAAGTCAATGGCGTCAAACACATTTCGAAACGGAGGGAGTATATATGAGACCAGGTATATATGTTAGCTCCACTGCCCACTTTATTGTGAACGAATTATTGTTGGGCCATGCTAGTCTGATCTACTTTTCCTTTGCGGCGCCTCGAACCAGTGCTGTGCTGTGCTGGCCATCGATGCAGCCATCAAATAATGGAAAGAAGTATAGATTCCATCATGCGATCAGGCTGATGATGGATATGGAGATCGATCGCCTGAATGAATATATGCTGGATCACTAGCTAGCTATCTAGCTGCATGCTTTAATTTGACGATTTGTGCATGTCCACCCTGTATATCATATGCATACAATTAGTTTAATTTTTTTCAGATGTGTAAAACATATGGACTATAATAAGCCACGTTTGAGTGCCACTTACCTACTGCACAATCAAGTTTCAGAAATCAGATTAATTTGTACTAGATGACTGAAAAGTCACTACTATTCTGCAAGTGTATGCAATAATGTCAGAAATCTGCTGGCATATTCCTGCAGGGAGATCATCAGTTGTTCATCATGTTTTCTTTTCCACTGATGTGCATGACCGTCAATTATTCATCAAGTTTTCTTTTCCACTGATCTATATGATGTTTCACCAAAACCATACTGTTTGAAGCATCACATTTTCTTCTCCATATATATGATGTTTCTCCAAAGCCATACTGTTTGAAGAATTATGTGTTTACTCCTTATTATGAGTTGGCTTTATTATTTATGTTATTCTTATTGCTTAAATGCTTGCTATTTTTGAGAGAATATTATAATAATTAGATGTAGCTTCATTGAAGCAAAGGCCGAATTTAATTCCATTATAAAAAGAAAACTGTTTGAAGCATTGTCGTCACACATATACTGTTAATTTGCTCCCGTGCATCTTTACCAGTTCATAGTAGCATCGTTGCCGGGTTAATAAGTAACCAACGGTAGTTTTTGCAAAATGCTAAGAGACAATTCAATATCTTTTTTTCTATATTGCTCGTTTTGCATGGCAATGTATTTCCTTTGTTTCTAATATCCTCTCCCCAAAAGTCCAAAATGCTAAAAATATTTTTGGTAATTAACTTGGGTTCTACCTATATCTTTGGAAAAAAAAACTGGTTTTACTTAGTGTTAGTATACTATGTTGGTCAATTTAGTGTTACCGGAATGATAAAATATTTGATTAAAAAAATGTCTAACATCATGTACGCTATTTCTTCTCGTGTTCCAATTAGCTTCAATATCAGTTTATCACTACTAAAAAATTGATTTTTCATGGCGTTTGGAAAATATTTTTCATAGCAGCCACGTGGAAAAACCGCCAGCGCAGAAAATCGTGGGGGTGGGGGTCAAGGGCCGCCAGCGGAAACACATCTTCGCTAGCGGTCTATTTAAGAAGGCCGCCAGCGAAGATAGGATGGAAGAGATGTTGCGTCATGCTGAACCTGAGGATGTTGCTGGGTCCGCTCGTGGGTTGGATAACTTTGATGCATTGAAAAAGGCAGCGAATGATCTTTTGTACGATGAGGCAAAGGGCTGTGAGAAGGATTTCACATTGTTGCGGACAGTGCTTGAGCTTATGAGATTGAAGGCCAGAAATGGTTGGTCCGACAGTAGTTTTAACGACTTGTTGGTTCTGTTGAAGAAACTTTTTCCGCAACCCAACTCCCTGCCAACAAGCACCTATGAAGCGAAGAAGCTTATATGCCCTTTGTCACTGGGTGTGCGAAAGATACACGCGTGTGTTAACAACTGTATCCTATTCCGTAAAGAGTACGAGGATTTGGACAGATGTACAACATGCAAGAATAGTCGATACAAAACAAGCCGTAGCCAGTCCGAGGGTCTGGATGTTGCCCTTGACGATGTAGAAGAGTCCGATCCATGCAAAGACAGTAACAAAAAGAAGATTCCCCAGCTTGTCATATGGTACCTTCCGGTGAAAGATCGTTTGAAGTGTTTGTTCTCAAACCCGAGGGATGCCGAATTGATGCGCTGGCATCATGAAAAGCGAAAAAAGGATGGGATGATTCGACATCCTGTAGATGCAAGACAGTGGAAGGAATTTGACATAAAGTATCATAAGTTTGTAGAGGACCCAAGAAACGTAAGGTTTGCATTGAGCACCGATGGAATGAATCCATTCGGTGACTTGAGAAGCTCACACAGCACGTGCCAGTACTCCTAACCATGTACAACCTCCCAACGTGGGTGTGTCAGAAAAGGAAGTATATCTTGTTGACCATCCTTGTATAGGGACCACAACAACCTGGCAATGACATGGATGTGTTTCTAGAGCCTTTGCTGGAGGATATGCGCGATTTGTGGGAACACGGGATCCGAGTTTGGGACGAATTCCTGCGGGAGTACTTCACGCTACATGCAATTATCTTTGTCACCGTCAACGACTTGCCCGCACTGTTTTCCCTATTGGGACAGATCAAGGGAAAGACGGGTTGCATTATTTGTGTGGATGGTACCGTGTACAGGTATCTTAAGCGATCGAAGAAGCTAGTGTACATGCGGCACCGACGTTTCTTACGAAAGAATCACTCGTACCGCTCCCAAGCAGAATATTTCGACGGTACTATTGAGAAAGGTGTAGCACCAGAACCATGGAAGGGTGATAAAGTGTTCAGAATGACCAAAAACCTGAAGGTTGTTTTTGGGAAGGTAAAAAAGAAGGAAACAAATAAGCGAAAGAGAAATGATGCCGAAGTGCCAGCAAGCCCTAGCGTGCCATTCAAGAAGCACTCCATTTTCTTTAAGTACCTTCCGTACTGGAAAGATTTAGACATACGCCATTCTATCGATGTCATGCACCTAGAGAAAAATGTCTTCGATAGCACCATTGGGACTATACTGGAAAGATTTAGACCAAGGATGGGCTAAAATCACGTAAGGACCTCGTGGATATGCAAATAAGGAAAGGGCTTCATCCTGTGGATGAAGGTAATAATGGAAAAGTGTACCTACCGCCTTCTTGCTACACCTTGACAAGAGCCGAGAAAATGGCATTGTGCAAATCCCTACATGGGGTGAGAATGCCTACTGGCTTCTCCTCAAACATTAAGCGACTAGTGTCGATGAAGGATCTGTCGCTTTCAGGCTACAATTCCCATGATTGTCATGTAATGCTCACAGTATTCCTCGCGATTGCAATTAGAGCAGTCGAACCAATTCACGTAAAGATGGTCATCACAAAGCTCTGTTATTTCTTCAATTCCATATCTCAGAAAGTAATTGATCCTGAAGAGTTAGGTCCTCTCCGGACTTTCGCTATACAGACAGTGTGCGAGCTTGAGATGTGTTTCCCACCATCATTTTTCGATATGATGCAACACCTCATAGTTCATATCATGCCTCAGATAATTGCACTTGGGCCCCTGTACCTGCATCAGATGTGGCCTTTTGAACGATACATGTCCATTCTAAAAGGCTACGTACGGAACCGCGCCCACCCAGAGGGATCCATGATAGAGGGATACACAACCGAGGAGGTCGTTGAGTGTTGCATTGATTACCTAAAAGATGGGAAAGCAATTGGTTTACCGGTACCTCGACATGAAGGTAGATTATCTGGGAAAGGAACAAAAGGGAAGAAAAGAATCCACGACAATGACTACAAAAAAGTGAAAGATGCTCATTTCACTGTGCTGCAGCAACTCGCAATAGTGGAGCCGTACATAGAGCAACACCTGCATGAATTACAAGCAACAAATGTGGGTCGATCTAATAGATGGATCATGAAGAAACACAAGCATCACTTTACTGAATGGTTCAAGAACCTCGATCTACCAGATGGCCATACCATGGAAAAAAGATCAATTAAAATGCTAGCTGACGGGCCATCAAGTGTGTATACCTCGTGGCAAGCATACGATCTGAATGGATACACGTTTTACACAAAAGCGAAAGACAAAAGGAGTGCATGCCAAAACAGTGGCGTTCGCGTAGAAGCAATCGACACAACTGAGCAAAAGAGCACATACTACGGATTCATAGAAGAAATCTGCGAACTAGACTACGGGCCAAATATGCAGATTCCACTGTTTCGGTGCCAATGGGTGAAACACCCAGCCGGCGTGTCTGTGGACAACTTTGGGCTGACAATAGTTGACTTTGAAAATGTAGGCCACAAGGATGACCCATGGGTGCTTGCCGATCGGGTCGCTCAAGTTTTCTATGTGACAGACCCATCTCATTTGAAGAAAGACATAGTTATTTCGGGAAAACAAAGGATTTTGGGAGTTGATGATGTCGAAGATGTCGAGGCATACAATCAATATGAGAACATGACACTATTCATAGATTTTCGAAACAAGATATTACGCGTCGAAGAATCAATTGGTGAATCGCCGAAGCCATACATGAGAGATGAAGGTGTGGGGAAAAGTGTTAGATGCTAATTCATTATATATGTATCATGTTGGACGTATCGATGAATTTTAATGTATTATAATGCGTGACAATGATGGATGAGATGAATTTTTGTATATGGAATATGGTGACATGATAATTGTTGGATCAAGAAATAGTTTGGTATAAATTTATTTGTATGCATGCATTTAAAAAATATCAGGCGCAAACATTAAAAAATCATATTTTATTTTTTTTTGATAAATTAAGCATATCTGTGTAAAAATAAATAAAATTATTTTTTCAGTTGGGAATGACATGTGGGGCCAAAGGGTTTTTGCTGGCGGCCGGCTTTGCCCACCGCTAGCAAAAACTGTTTTCGCTAGCGGCCCGCATAAGCTACCGCCAGCAAAAACCGTTTTCACTTGCGGCCCACATAAGCTTGCCGCCAGCGAAAACCCTTTTCGCTAGCGGCCCACGGAATCCTCCGCCAGCGAAAATGTTTTCGCTAGCGGTCGGCGCGTTCCTCCGCCAGCGAAGATTTCTTCGCCTATAAGTAGCTAGCGCGCGCGGCTGAAAATTTCCTAAGTCCCGAAGGCGCGCGAACCCTAAAATTTGTGCCGCCAGGCTGCCAAAATTTCGAGCGCCGCCGCCAGCGATAACCCTAGCGCCCACCACCGCCGCCGCCTCCTCCTCCATTTGCGCCATCCTCCATTCGGACACAGCTCCTCCATTCGCGCCTCCACCGCCGCCGCCGGCTCCTTCTCCTCTCGGCCCGCCGCCGCCGCCGCTAGATCCATTCGCACCTCCTCTCCACCACCGCCGCTAGATCCAGCTCCTCTCCGACCGACGGCCACCGCATCCTCCTCCTCTCCGCCGCCTCCTCCTCGATTGGCCCACCGTCTCTACCACCGCCGCCGCCAGATCGAGCTCCACCTCTCCCCCGGCTCCTCCTTCCTCCACCTCGGGAGTTGTCGCCGCCACCGGGACTCGTCCGCTGGCTCCTCTTCTCCGCCGCCGCCGCCGACTCCTCCTCCTACCGCCGCTGCCAAGACCGCCGCCGGGACCTCCTCTTCCTCCGCCGGTTCCTCGTCGTCGACGCCGCCTCCACCTCAGGAGTCATCACTACCGCCGGGTCCTCGTTGTCGACGCCGCCGCCGCCGGGTCCTCGTCGTCGACGCCGGGACCAGCTCCGCCGCCTCTTCCTCCTCCGCGCCACCGCCGTCGCCGCCGCACCGGAACTCCACGGTGAGCCGTGACGAGAAGCCGAGGTACACCCCCTCCTCTGCTCCTCCTCCCCATTCTGTAAAATTGATGTATGATGAATGTGATGTGAGATGAATTGATGCATGATGAATGTGATAAAATTGATGGATGATGAATGTGATGTGAGATGAATTGATGGCTGAATTGGGATGAATTTTTTATGAATGTTAATTGGTGGTGAAAATTTGGGTGGATGCAGTTTTTTTTTTTGTGTTGATAGAGGCATGTATGAGTTTGTGCAGCCTCTGAATTTTTTGTGCACCAACTAAAATCGATGTGCAGCCACTGAATTGTATCGATGATAGAGGCATGTATGAGTACTGTCCTTTGTTTTCTTGTTGCAAATGTGATTTAATTTGTACAATCAAAATTGATCTTGTGCTCAACATATTAAGAAAAAGAATTGTTCTGCTGTTGCACTTTTTTCCAAAATGAAATGGACCTGTACATATTGTACATATGTATTGCTGCACTTTTTTTCCAAAATGAAATGCACTTTCTTTTGTTCAGGCCTATGCTGTTATATATATATATATATATATATATATATATGCTGATCTGGATATGATGCATTGAGATGACTGTTGGGTGAATATTTAGATGCACAAATTTGTTAGTTTGACTGAAATTGAGTAATTCGTTAGTTTGATACTATGGCGATCAAAATGTGTTGTTTGAAATTTAGTTCAAATGAAAGAATTGATAAATTGGCCGCAGAATTTTGGTGGATTGGTCAGTGTAGTCCATGGACGGAACCGATCTAGACACCAAAATTCTCCATGCATTTTGTATTCTGTCATTCTTTGATAATTAAGGAACTTAATTTGGTTTAGGGTTTGAAATTTAGTTCAAATGGAAGAATTGATAGATTGGCTGTAGATTTACTGTAGTTCCTAGGTTATCAAACCATCACAGAATACAAAATGCATGGGGAATTATAGTGGATTTGTCAGTGTCGTCCATGGACGGAACCGACTTAGACACCATAATTCTCCATGCATTTTGTATTCTGTCATTCTTTGATAATTAGGTAGTTTGAAATGATCAGGGTTGGTGAATTGTAATATTGATGTCGTTGCCGATCTCATTGATTGGTAACAATATTTATAGTTGTAGTACAAAATTAGTATCTAAATTTTGCCTTCTTTTTGGATTTACAATAAGAAAATGATTCCATTTTGCAACTAACATTAATTCACCTTCAAGCGATATCAATGGACAAACCCACCCAAGAGCAACCCACGGGTGACAAGGGCAAGGAAACTCAGCTAGTCATGGAGGAAGATATTTGCACGCAAGTAGTCGCGGAGGAATCTTCGTCGTCTAGCTCAAGTTAACCAGGTAGTGGATCGTATCACTCACCGAGTGACCACCATCCTTCTCCGGCAAGGAAGAGAAAGGGCGGTAGCAACAATGAAGTTGACTCCGACTACGTTCCGCCCGAACTGGTGGTACGTAGCATATAATATATGTTTAGTTCCAATCATATTAACTGCGAACTATGGATTTTAATTAAAGTCACGTTATTTGCAAACAATAGTTGAATGCTCCACGTCGCTCCAAAAGGAAAGCCCAAGCCGCAACTGAACCTGAAGCTGTAGCTATAGCCGTCGTGTGCACAACAGCTTTAAGCAAACCCAAGAAAAGGAGGGGCGAGCGAGGGAAGAACATATTGTTGAAGGAAGTAAGCGTGCTGACGCGGATGAGTGAGACAGGGGAACCCCTGTCACCGGAAGACTCATGTTCGAAGTATAGCAACCAATGTGGGGCGGTGGTCAGGGATATCGTGGAGATCACATGGAAGGATTGGAAGAAAGTTCCAGAGAGTCGAAAGAACAGCTGTTGGACATCGTTGCAAAGCAAGTTTGAATATCCAGAGGGGACAGACAATGATAAAGCCAAGGATTATGCGTTGAAGACAATGGGGAAGCTGTGGCGAAATTGGAAAACGGATCTGAATAAGAAATATGTCCAAAAGGGACTCACGCCGTTTAAGGACTACGGAAGGATAACACAGGCCCAGTGGGATGAGTTCGTTACCCTTAAGACATCGGCGGAAGAAAAGGAGAAGAGCCAGAAGATGGCTGAGCTAGCAAGAAGGAATGGATATCCACATCATTTGGGATCAACCGGTTACTGGCAAGCGGTGAAGAAATGGGCAAAACAAGATGAAGAGATGGGGAAGGCTGGGAAACCTGTTCCTATGAAAAATCACAACCCATGAAGCAGGAACACCGGCCTTCACCCCTGAGGGGGATGTAGTATTCAAGGATCAGAAGCTCCAGGAGGTAGCTGTCAAGATGAAGAACATCATCACGCAGCAACAGGCCGGGACGTTCGTGCCAGATAGAGACCGGGACGAGCTAACCTATGCCTTGGGCAAACCGGAGCACTCTGGCCATGTACGGGGAGTTTCCTCAAAGACTAACTGGAAGGATGGATTCAAACAGGATGCTTATACCTACAAGAAGCGTGATCGCTACAAGGAAGAGATTGACTCTCAGGCTAGGGCAGCAGCTTGTGACGAATGCAACATATACTGGAGTCAAAAAATGATGCACAGTGTAGCTGTTTTAGAGCCTGAGCCGAGCTATCCTTTCGATGTTGTAACGGAGGATACTCCGTGCAAGCTCTTGATTTCGGTCGGCAGGGCAGGAAAGAAAATACTCGTTGCAACTGGGAGGTTCATACCAGGCCACATGTTTCATTGCCAAGACATTCCGGATGACTACGCCAAGGTAGAGGTCCGGACGGTCATTGAGGCTTACCGGATGCACGAGCTCGACTTTCCAACTACTGAGCAGATTGTGTACCTTGGAGATGCCATCGACCAATTCATACTATGGCACAAGAATGATATTGAACTAGGGTCAACGGATGGAACTGATCGTCCACCAAGGATACCGGTGTCACCGTCGCATCCACCAGTCGTAGCCCGTCCGAGGGATAGTCCTATTGCTTCACCCCCTAGACCAGAGCCACCAGTTGCATCACCTCTAGGACCAAAGCCACTAGTTGCATCATCTCGAGGACCAGAGCCACCAGTTGCATCACCTCCAGTACCAGAGCCACCAGTTGCCTCACCTCCAGTACCGGAGCCTCCTGTTGCATCACCTCGGACAAAAAAGGATGCAGAAGAACCATCAGAGTCTGTACAAGCAGAGCCTACAAAGCTAGCGGCGGGTGAAATTGAAGCGGTGCCTGATCAGCCAATGCCCGATCAACCAGAGCAATCGCAACCAGAGCCATCGCAACCAGAGGAACCTAAGGGTGCCGATGTGCTAGTGATGGTAAGGACGCACAAGCACAAAGCAAAAAGTGAGTCCAAGAAACATTATATGGTAACGGCATTCCGAGGAAGGGACAAAGATATCATAAATGCCGAATTTGATAACAGAAAATTAAAAGGGTTCAAACAGACCTTCAATGACTATCTCAACTATATCAATTCCCCAGACGTGCCACACGAGTTTGAGAATGGCAAACCATTCATTTACGACTGGCAACTAAGAGAAGGACCGTGGCAACTAAGAAGGTGGCACGATTGGTACATTAGGGCAAGCACCATGAACGGCATCGATTCATTCACAATTGCCGTGGGGGAGAACATCTTCTGGAGCGGTCCTTGTCTACTCCAAGTCCATTTCTCCGATATGCATTCCCTCTACCGTAGGAAGCAACTGGACGCCAATTTGATTGCCATCTGGTGTCTGTAAGTGCTACACTTGAACGTGTTAATAGATCACTACACCTATATGCGTAGCTCATTTGATCATCCATTGTT